TTTTTTTTTTTTGAGACTAGGTCTAGCTGTGCAGTCCAGGCTGGCTTTGAACTTGCCATCCTCCTATCTGACCTTCTCCAGTGCTAGGAGTGTATGTGTGTGCACCATACACTGAGTCAGTTTCACTGGGACAAATTTTAGATGTCTGTTGTTCTTTAAACTTAAATTATGTAGTGTTTCAGATCTATGAAAATATTTAAAATGATGGAAAATTAAAACTTTAAAAAATAAAGTTGTTAAAATAAATACAAAACCGTGAGACACTTAAATGTATAAACTTGCAGTAGTGGAAGACTTTCTAAGTATGACACAACTCAGGAGTCTAAAAACTAATTAATAAATTCAGCTACACTTTGGTGTTTTAGATAGAGTCTTGTTATATATTCCAAGCTAACCTCGAACTTGAAGTGATCCTCCTGCCTCAGTCAACTGAGTGCTGGGCTTATGAACATAGCTAACCAAATGCAGCTGTATTTAAAAAAAAAAAAAAACATAGGCAAGATATAGCTTAGCAGCATAAATGCTTGCCTGGTAAGCACAAGGACTTGGGTTTGATCTCTGATACCACATGCCATGCCAGCTGTGGACCCCTGGGCAGGCTATGCCAGCCCTGAAACCAGGCGTGGTGGTGCATACCTGTAATCCCAGCACTGGGGAGCCTGAGACAAGAGACTCACTATGAGTTGAACTGCGTAGCTAGACCCTATATCAGATAAATAATTTTTTAAAAATTACATGGAACAAAGACTATCGTAAACAAAATTTAAACTGGGAAGGATACTTAAATTTCAATCATGAAGCCAATTTTTGTAATATATATAAAACTACTAAATATCAATAAAAAATAGCTATTAACCCATTAGAAAGCTGGGCAGTTTGATCCCCAGTTCTGAAAAAAAAGCTGGGCAAAGGATATAGAAGACAGAAAGTACAATACAGATACATCTTAATCACAAAAAAGAATTTTAACTTCACATAAAAGAAGTTTCAGATAAACCTGCAATACTATTTGTCACTTCTCAGATAAACAGGTATCAAAAGGTTTGATACCACTTTTAATAAGACCCTTCAGTAATTCTTTTAGTACCTCTGGGCCTAAGTTCCATTTTTTAATCAGTTATCAAAAATGTAATGAAAGTATTCATTAAGGTTATCTTATCCTTTAGAAATACATATAAATTGAAAATGATATTATTTCATTTTTACTTATTTTTAAGGTCTCACTATGTAGTCCACACTGGCCTCAAACCCAGTCCTCCTGCCTCATCCTTCCAAGCGCTGGGATTATAGACATGCAGCTGTCTTCGTTAATTTTCTCCTTCCTGAGACAAAATATGAGATACCAAAGAGTTGGAGGAGGAAAGGTTTATTGTAGCTCACAGTTCCTAGTAGTTTCATTTCCTACTTGACTGCTCACAGGCAGGGCAGCATGGCAAAGGGGCATCACAGAGGAGAAACAGTCCATGGTGGGCTGGTAGGAGGCAGCAAAGTAGCAGTAGAAACAGCAACGTGCAGCAGCCTCTCCCTTTTATCCATTCTGGGCTACCTGCCCTTTAGGTGGTGCCACCCCACACCCACGGTAGGCCTTAGTCATCCACACCTACAACTATGCTTACTCAATCAGCCTGATTTAGTAGTCACCATAACAAGCACTATACACACATTGTTTTGTTCTTATCTAACAATTACTAATGGGAGCTGTGTATAATGAGACAGTGCATAAGGCCTGGGATTAGGACATAGTAATCCTAGTTTCCTATCAACTGATTTTTGGGTGATAATTGCTTATCACAGGAATCATCAAAAAACCTAGCTTTACACTAAGCACAGTGTCATAGTTCTATAACCTAGCACTCTGGGAAGCTGAGGCAGAAGGATTGTAAGTCGGAGCCCAGCATGGGCAACTTAGTGACATAGCCTGACCTCAAAATAAGAGCCAGGGAGGTAGTTTAGCATGAAAGCCTTGAGTTCAATCCCCAGTACTAGAAACCAAATACATAGTAAAAGATAAACAGTTTACAGGTGTACAGGCTGGGGGTCCATCCCTGGGGGGCACTGAGACAGCAAATGAGACTGGGCATGGTGGCGCACACCTGTAATCCCAGCTCTTGGGGAGGCTGTAAACAGGTGTTCACTACAAGTCCAATCTAGTAGTGAGACCCTGAACACCCTGTAGACCCTTCCCTAATATCCCCCCCCAAAAAAGAAAAAAAAAAGATGAACAGTTTAAGCATCCATCAGTAGAAGCCTGGTTGAATAAATTATGGTACATCCATCCAGTAAAGTAACAGTTATTTAAAACTGTAGCATTTTGGCAGTATTAAATGACTATAAATTATATTGTTAAATGACAAAAAGTTTTCATGGTATGCTGCTTCATCCTGTGTAAAATGAGGAAGCGAAATATACACAGATACGTATTCGCTTGTATTTGCATCAGATATCTTTGGGAAGCCATGTCAGAAATTGCTAATATACAAGCTGTGTGAGGTGGTGCCTCCCAACCACTGAAGAAGTTTAGGGAGGTTTTATGTACCTGGAGTTCAAGGCCAGCCTAGGAAGCATAGCAAAACCCCATCTCCTAAAACAAAAACATTGTTAAGGTAGGTTACTGCTGTCAGAAGAAAACAGGTGAGAGGAACTTTTTAATGGGTGTCTTTTTGTTCCGGTTGAATTTAGAACCATATACAATATATTCCTTATGTTGAAATATATTAAAATTTAAATAGTAAATTAGAAACAATGTAATATAAAATATTTTCACCACAGTCATGAATTTTACATTGTCACTATAGTATTAATTTGCATTTTTAGCACTAAAATTATATGAATAAGCAGGATCAGAGTTTTAACATTTCAAGTTTTGTTTTGTTTCCAGGATTTGGAAAACTACATACTGGAACTGATTCCTACTTTGCCACAATTAGATGGTCTGGAAAAATCCTTTTACTCTTTTTATGTTTGTACAGCAGTTAGGAAGTTCTTCTTCTTTTTGGACCCTCTAAGAACAGGTAAAAGAAAATCTTATTTAACTTAGATGTTATGAAGTATTACATCTAAACCTTACTAACTTCAGAAATCTTGAAATGTCATTTACTTTTCCATTATGTTACTGCTGTTAGTAATCTAGCAAATCTTGAAGTAGAAAAATGCAAAAGCAGCAGGGTTTAGGTTTAGGTGTATATAAAGATATTTCACGTTTACTTCATGAACTATATGTGACAGTGGAATATCACATAACTTCCTGTAGTTTTCTTCATCCCTAAAAATGAAGAAGTATAAACTACATAATCTATCAGTATTGCTCCTTCCTTTTTTTTTTTTTTTTTTCCCCCTTTTTTATTGAGACAGAGTCTCACTATGTAGTTCAGGCTGGTTGGACTCACTGTATAGCTGGGCTAGCCTGGACTCCATGGTTTTCCTGCTTCAGCCTCCCAAATGCTGGGATTACAGATGTACACCCCCACACCCAGCTGCTGCTGCTTCTAATTCTAAGAAATTAGTTACTCTGCTCTAATTAGCTGTCTCTGATATGTAACATACTGGAGAATTTTCTTTTCTTTCTTTTTTTATTTTTTTAGGGAAGGGTCTACAGGGTGTTCAAAGTCTCACTACAAGATCTGACTCGTAGTGATCCGCCTGTGTACAGCCTCCCAAGAGCTGGGATGACAGGCGTGTGCCACCACGCCCAGTCTCAGTTGCCATCTCAGCATGCCCCAGAGGCGGGGCCGGCACCGCCAAGAATTTTTGAGGAAAACTATGGATTTGGAAATTCAGGAGCCCTCTAATCAGACATACTTTTCTTTCTCAAATGCACCACCACACCTGGCTTATCTCTTTAAAGCTTCAACTGTAGGCACGTACACATTTTTTTCCTTTCCTTTCCTTTTTATTTTTTACTTTTTTGGCGGAACTGGAGATTGAACTCAGGCCCTTGTGCTTGGCAGGGAAGTGCTTATTCTACTGAGCCATCTCCCTGGCCTTTTTTTCCTTTTAGATTTTACAAAATAACAGCTATTTTGATGGCTTATTATGTATAAGGCATTGTGCTAAGAATTTTATAGACTTTTTATTTTCTTATAGCTCAATAAAGAAGCTACTACTCACATGTTATGCATAAGGCAGCAGAGACTTAGCTAGATAACGTGCAGAAGCTGCAAACTCCCATCTGTCTGCTCTGAACCAGACTTCTGCTAAAATAGAGAAATGTTCCCTTGGATTTTTTGGGGGGGGGGTGAGTGGGGTCTTTGAGACAGAGTCTTGGCAATGCCTAGAGTTTAGACTGGCCTTGAGCTTTGTAGCCCAAGCTGGTCTTGAACTTGGAACGATCCTCCTGCCTCAGCCTCCAGAGGGCTGGGATTACAGGCATGCCTACCACACCCATTTAAGAGTTTTGCTGAAAAATTTTTTTAGCAGTGTTGTATATCTATGACAGGGTAACTCACAACTTTTATGGGAATCCAATAGCATGATTTTAGAAAGAATTTACCACTTTGGTCTATATAATTGGAGATATAAAAGTAGATATACAAGTAGAGCTGTAATTAAGTGTGGTTCCTCCCCCGTCCTTTTGCTCTTGAAGGTAGAATCAGGGTCCTTTACACTGAGCTATGTTCCCAGCCACTTGTATTTTGAGAGATGATCTTGCTGTTACCAAGGCTGGGCTCAAACGTGATCCTTTGGCTTTAGCTTAGAAATGTTGACTTTTCATAACAAGGTGTGATAAGGACTTTGGGGCATGAAAGCTAACAGGTTTAAAATATTAGCTGTGAGACTGATCTTGTAAAATAATACCTTTAAAGATTAAGTTGTTCTGAAAAAGAAATTAAGTAATTGTGTTTACTTTTTTTAAGGGAAGATAAAAATTCAAGATATTTTAGCATGCAGTTTCCTTGATGATTTACTAGAGGTAAATATCTTTAAACTTCTTAATTATACCATGTGATAGTTGCTGTCTTCTAATTATGTCTGTGTTCCTTTAGCTAAGAGATGAGGAATTGTCCAAGGAGAGTCAAGAGACAAATTGGTTTTCTGCTCCTTCTGCCCTAAGAGTTTATGGTATGTCGGCGCCATTCTGCTAAAACTGAATTATCCATTTCTCAGTTAATTGGTGTTTCGAAGACAGTTGTGTTCTTGGTGGTTTGTATTTGGAAGAGTATACTGGGGATTGAATCCATTGAGCTACATCCCCAGCTTTTTTTTTTTTTTTTTTCTTCCGTTGTTTGAAATAGTCTCACTGTCTCAGGAGACTCAAACTTGATATTCTTGCCTGAGCTTCCCAAAATGCTGGGCTGACAGCCATGCACCACCATAACCATGTCAGGATAATTTTATACTAGACTTTTTTGCCTTAAGACTGAAGTATTCTTGGGCTGGTTATATAGCTCTGTGAAGGCCTTAAGTTTAATCTCCAGCAGCACCAAAATCCATGACATTAAGGTCTAGCATTCTGGGTCTGGGATCTAGCTCCATAGCACAGTGCCTGTCTGTCAAGCTCAAGGTCATGAGTTTGATTTCCAGTACCTAAAACAAAAACAAGCATTCTAGATTACTTAAGTTTGTGTATTTTATTTCTTTTTCTTTCCTTTTTTTTTTTTTTTTTTTGGTGGAACCAGGGATTGATAGTTTGTGTATTTTAATACTAACATTTGAACTTTTAGTTATTATACTTTCATTAGAACAAGCAAATGTAATTTGACCTTTTCTTGATGCAAAAGTATCATTTGTGACCCTGTGGTCTTGCTCTGTGATAAAATGCTATTCTGGGATGACACAGAGAGATGTTCTGGGGATTGGTTTGCCATTGAGTTTCATGAGTCTGCTAAATTTATCCTGTTAGCAGTTTTGTGACTCATTTTGGAATCTGTGATTTCTATTTTCACATTGATAGCATTTCAGTGCTTTTTGTTGGCACTTTCCCTCTACCAAGGTGTTCTAAAAAGGTTGCAAACTAAAAACAAAAATGTAAATTAAATAGCCAAAAGGCTATGGCCTTCAAGATAGGTTTCCTTTGGTTCTTGCTTAACAGTTCTTCAAGATTTGAAGGATAGCTGATATTACTACAAATAAGCTACTTCAGAACACTAAAGAATAAAAAGAATTCTTTGTTAATGTCTAATCATTCTGTCTCTTAATTTAAAATGTTCTGATCATAACTGTTTTTTCACTCTCTTGTCTTTTCAAGGCCAGTATTTGAATCTCGATAAAGATCACAACGGCATGCTCAGTAAAGAAGAGCTCTCCCGCTACGGGACAGCAACCATGACCAGTGTCTTCTTAGATCGTGTTTTCCAGGAGTGTCTCACTTATGATGGAGAAATGGTATTTGTTTCACTCTGCTGAAAATTTTTAACATTTAGGTTCCTACTGTTTCCACACACCCTTTTTTGATATTATATCATTGTGCCACCGTATGCTAAAAAATGTGAACCAAGGGCCAGCAAGATAGCTCAGCGCAGTAAGCGCCTGCTTTGGCAAGCACAGGGACCAGGGTATTCTATGCTGGCCCTGCCCTTAGGGCGCGCTGGCTGAGCAGCAACCAGTCTGGGTGTGGTGGCACACACCTGTAATCCCAGCGCTAGGAGGCTGAAAACAGGAGGATCACAACAAATCCGAGCTGCATAGTGAGACTCTGTGCCAAATATGATAAGTGGAGAAAAAAAAATATGTGAACAAATCAAACCATGTGATATTTGGAGCTTTTGGTCTGAAGGTAAATTCACTTTAAAACACTGCCCTAATGAGCTCAGAACAAATAGAAAATTTTAATGTTTGTTTGTATCACTATCAGTGTACCTAATGCATAGGATGTGAACTACTAAAGAAAATTCTGAAAAATTAGTAAATTCTTTTGGGCATATGACAAAAATCATGTGGTCTGACAATAGTACCTTATTGAAATGACTTTAAAAAAAAAAGAAATGACTTAAATCTGAGAAGCAGGTAAAATGACTGTCTATACTAGTGGCTACAACTAGTACTTGCAGCTGTCTGATGCTCAAAATACTTGGGAATCTGATAGTGTAATATTAGAAAGTTTGTAGCTTAGATTTATATAGTTGGGGGTATGCAAGTAGATACTTTATTACACATTTTCTTTATATTCTCAAAATATTTAAAATTTTGAAATAAAGTTTTAAAATTACATTCTTGTTTAAAAGATATGGTAGCCAGGTATGGTGGCACACACCTATAACCCCAGCACTCAGAAAGCTGAGGCAAGAGGATTGCTGAGTTCAGGGGCAACCTGGGATATATGGTGAGACCCTCACAAAACCCTAAATCAGTCAATCATGTCATGGCAATGGCATGATGAATTTTCCAAAGAAATGATACTTAAATAGTCAGATAAGAATGAGGTTTTACATTTTATCATTTAGCTTCAATGGCTGTGTGCTAAATAAATAACATCATTGTTGGCCAGAGGCACAGAAACTCAACTTTGTGACTCCCACAGCTGTTAACTTGAGACAATGGGGAGTCTGTTGTACCCTGATGGCTTCTGGTGAATAAAAAATTGAGAGGCCACAGCTGTCAGTGGAGCTGCGCCACGATGCCGCACTGCGCATAACTTGATGGTGTGCTTCATCTTTGCCTATAAACTCTGTACCAAAAATTCGTCATCAAAGCCCAGCGTGGTGCTACACACCTGTAATTCCAGCATTTGGGGAGCTGACGCAGAAGGGCTACCTAGAGTTAAAGGCTCCCCATATAGTTTCAATCCATGATGTGGAAGCCATAAATATGGAGGATTATTCATTCCAGATAAAAAATTCTTTTTCCAAATAACCACAATGAAATGAAAATACAAATTTAAAGGTATCGTACAATAGTTTACTCACTGTCTTACCAGTTTCAGAAGTATAACGGAAATTATTACCACAGCAAATCTCTTAAGAAAATGAGCTGTATCCCCAAAATTCTGCTATGAAAATTTACTCCTTAATTAGAATTCTTACAGGGAGGGGTGGTGGTGGTGGAGGAGGAGGTGGTGCACGCCTATAATCCCAGCAGTTACAAACTGAGGCCTGAGGATTGCCCCATTTCAAAGCCAGCCTGGGCTACATAGTGAGTTCAAGGCCAGCCTGCAATATGTAGCAAGGCTGGCTTTGAAATGGGGCAATCCTCAGGCCTCTTTGTCTCAAATAAGAAAAATAAGAATTCTTAGAAGCCAACATTAACTGTACAGACAGATTTCTTATTTCATGTTAAAGAATTTGCTATCCTTAATTGCAAAATCACTTTAAATCATCAGGTACTCACTTGAAAAGTTCATTTCAATTAAGGCCTTTATTGAACATTTTCTTTTCTGTAGGACTACAAGACCTACTTGGACTTTGTTCTTGCACTAGAAAATAGGAAGGAACCTGCAGCTTTGCAATATATTTTCAAACTGCTTGATATTGAGAACAAGGGATATTTGAATGTCTTTTCCCTTAATTATTTCTTTAGGGTAAGTCTGATTTGTATTTTTCTTGAAGATATGCTGCTGTAGCATTGGGGAGAATAATTTTTTAGAAAGCTACCTTTCAGAAAAGTTCCCTTCCAGGAAAAGTTTGATAGATTTTAGTTGCTACTCTTTTTGTTGTTGTTGCTACATTGCTAAAAAGCTGGTGAGCTCTGACCTTGAATCTGATTGGATGAATATTTGGCTTCAACAAATGCAAAAGTAGGAAATTATGCCCTTGTCACGTGTGACTCCTTAATTTGAATGTGAACTTACTCATCTGATGGACTAATTTTGTAGAGTGGTGTTCTACTCTGTCACCATATTTTCACAGCTAGTTTTTAGAAGACCATGTGATTTACATATGGTAGAAATCAGCAATACTAAGGTTTTGTTTTTTTTATTCGCCTTGAACTTACAGTCCTTTTACCTCACTCACCCAAATGCTGAAATAACAGGTATGCACCAGTATGTTCAGCTCAGATATTTTTAGATCAATAAAAATGGCTCACACCTTTATCCAAACCACTTCCCCAAAAATCTTTTTGTTTCCATTTAAAAAGCTTTGGGTGCTCTTGACTTACGGTAGCATGTGCCTGTACTTTTCAGCACAAGGCTGAGACAGGAGAACGGCAAGTTCAAGACCACCCTGAACTTTAAAGTTTTAGTAATATTTAACCTGTCTCTTAATTCATCCTAATTAATTTCATAGCATATATTTCATAATTTCATGTTATATTTCCTAGAATTTCCTTTCAAACCTTTTAGGCAGTAATGACTGCAAATATCAGAAGGATACAGTATAATTTTAGGATTAGAATACATTTTTTTTTTCACTACTATCTTCTTGGGGATCTGCTTGTGGTTTTTTTTTTTTTTTTTTTTTTTTTTTTTTGGTGTAGGCAGGTATATCAGCAGGCTACAGCAGGCAAAAGACTGAAGCAATGTATATGGAGGGCAATTGGGCAATAGCAGTGGCATTGTCAGTTTGGAGATCTTGAGCTGGCTTTACAGGCAGGAGAGCAGCACCGTTTGGTGCCTCAGGGCAGAGCTTAATCATCAAAGAAACATGATCAATAGCAAGTCCAGGGGGTGAGTTCTGTTTGTACTTCTGGAAATGAGTCTTAGAAATTTCAGTGTTATGCTCATAGGGCATTTCAGGCTGATGTAAAGCCTGTTCTTTTTACTGGGGTGCAGCCAGAGATATTATCCAGTTGGGTAGCAGACCCCAGTGTGAGGGAGGTGGTCACCTCCAGGAGGAGGTGTTGGACTCCCATGCGTATACAGGAATTCATGTTTGATAATGTGTCCATTGATCTCACAGGATCTGCTTTGGCAGGATTTCTTTCCAGTAAGGGCCCAAGAGGGTAACTTTGGCAACTTTAGACATGTTTATTGGCTTCTTGCCTCCCTCTTTGAGGTCTACCAGGAGAGCAGTGCAGTACTGATCTCAGGCTTCATGGTTCTCTGTCACAGTACAGTCCCACTTTGCGCGTGCTCAGGGAAGGGCTGTGTTCACCCAAGCATCAGGGTCAACCATAGTGGTGAGGACTTTTGACTTTAACCAGGCTTGGGCCCCATCTAAAGTGTAGCGCTGTTCTTCAGTATTAGCAGTAGGCTGAGGTGCAGTAGACTGACCTGGTGGTGTTGGCATGGAGACCGGCTGAACAGCTTGGGGTTGATGAGTGTAAGGAGGAGGCAGGACAGACTCAGGTCCTTGGGAAGAACAAGATCAACTCATCCACATGACTGACACTGACAAAGGATCTACAAACTGCAGTATAGGGTTTCAGGCTAAATCCTGAGGGGATTTGACTGACTTTATCAGACATAAAAGTTACATTTCTTGTCATATAGGTCTTGCTTTATCTTGGACTTAACCATCCAACAGAAAAGTATAATAATGAGGTACGAAAAGTAAAGCCATATTAACATGCTGAGCTGAAAAAGGCTCAAGTCAACAATGTCTGACGTTGCTAGTCCTATGGATAACTCACTACTGTTATGGACTACTGGACTATATTGGATCATTTTGC